AATATTGATCTAACCGGATTACTAATGTCCAAATTAATAATCCTACGATCAAGAACAAATTTAGATTAAATTGTAAGAGACTTTGCTCTCATTATCATGATCTCTATCACGATGACAAATCTCAAAATTTAATCAAGGACCTTATCAAATTAATCAAACAATTAATAATAATTATAAAAGAATATCAAATGCCATATATATTTTATATCAAATAACGTTCACAAAAATACGTTCAAATCATCAAATATGATATTGGATCTAGGGCATATCTACTATATCCCTAACACCGACCTCTAGATCCATTTCATTCTTTCGTTTTCCTTTAAATGTTTCTAGTAGGAACAAATCCTGGTAATCTAAGTGCTATCTTTTTCTGATAAGCAGGAGCCACCAGTTATCCTGGTTGAGTCAATTGAGGAAGCAAGTACCACGGAGAACTTGAATGTGCCAGAAATCCACGACATTGGTGACGGAATCCCCATTATCAACTCCCCACGTACTCCTGACTCTTTCTCCAATCTGCATGAGGTTGATGAAGCCCCAAGAGGTGCTGGTCTATCAGGTCTAAGGAACAACATCCTCGATGAGTTGGAAAATGATAACCAGATCAAGGTCTTGGAAAACTATGTATTGCCACTAGAAGCAGCTGATTTTCATCATGATGAGCAATATATAGTTGAAGAAACCGATGGTATCAGCGACATTGATGTGGTATTTCTCTCTGAATTAGATACAGTTGGTGACTTTAGCATCAAGGGGTCAAGCCAGAATGAGTTTGAGAGACAAATCAGCTCTAGTGCAGAGGATTTGTCTCCATTCCATGCTGTTGATTCTGTAACTACAGAAGTTTACGAAGGGGCCTGTGCTGAAGTTCATGAAAGAAAGCTCCCGTTGCACCCTGAGATCTTAAATGCATCCACATTTGAAGAGATTGATGAGCATGAAGAAAAGGAGTGTGCTTCAGATATTCAAAACTATGGATTGAGAAGTATCGATCATATTGATGTTGTTTATCCTAGATCAATTGAAGGAGGATTGCCAGAGGATAGTGACACCGGACCTTCAGATCCCAGTGTAAAGCACAATGTGGATGCTCAAGATATAGTTCCAGAAATGCCAATAGTTGAAGCTCAAAACTCTGTCTTTGAGATAGAAAACTTACAATCTACTCAAACTGGAGTGACTGAAGAGGAAACTGATTCTGGTATGCCAGTACTGGAAGCACAAACAATTCAAGATATTGAGTCAGCATTTTGGCAAGTTTATGAGAAAGAAATAGAGAAATCTAATGTTCTTGAGCAATCTAATGCTGAAGATTCTGGAATGCCAGTGCTGGAAGCACAAACAATTGAAGATATTGAGTTAGCATTTAGAAGTACTTCTGAGAAAGAAATAGAGCACTCGGATGTGCTTGAGCTACCTAATTCTGAGCTAGTAACTGAACAATCTGGGTGTTCAAACAATGACGCATCGGTTGAAATGTCAAGTTCAGTACAGGAAGATTCTGGAATGCCAGTTCTGGAAGCACAAACAATTGAAGATTTTGAGTTAGCATTTAGAAGTACTTCTGAGAAAGAAATAGAGCACTCGGATGTGCTTGAGCTACCTAATTCTGAGCTAGTAACTGAACAATCTGGGTGTTCAAACAATGACGCATCGGTTGAAATGTCAAGTTCAGTACAGGAAGATTCTGGAATGCCAGTTCTGGAAGCACAAACAGTTGAAGATATTGAGTTAGCATTTAGAAGTACTTCTGAGAAAGAAATAGAGCACCCGAATGTGCTTGAGCTACCTAATTCTGAGCTAGTAACTGAACAATCTGGGAGTTCAAACAATGCGGCAGCAGTTGAAGTGTCAAGTTCAGTACAGGAAGATTCTGGAATGCCAGTTCTGGAAGCACAAACAGTTGAAGATATTGAGTTAGCATTTAGAAGTACTTCTGAAAAAGAAATAGAGCACCCGAATGTGCTTGAGCTACCTAATGCTGAGCTAGTAACTGAACAATCTGGGAGTTCAAACAATGCGGCAGCAGTTGAAGTGTCAAGTTCAGTACAGGAAGATTCTGGAATGCCAGTTCTGGAAGCACAAAGAGTTGAAGATATTGAGTTAGCATTTAGAAGTACTTCTGATAAAGAAATAGAGAACTCGAATGTGCTTGAGCTAGTAACTGAAGAATCTGGAAACAATACAGCAGCAGTTGAAGTGTTAAGTTCAGCTCTTGAAGATTCAGGAATGCCAGTGCTGGAAGCACAAACAGTTGAAGATATTGAGTTAGCATTTAGAAATATTTGGGAGAAAGAAATAGAGAACTCGGATGTGCTTGAGCTTCCTAATGCTAAACCATTAACTGAAGAATCTGGGAGTTCTGACAATTCAGCGGTGTTTGAAGTGTCAAGTTCAGTAAAGGAAGATTCTGGAATGCCAGTGCTCGAAGCACAAACAATTGAAGATATTGAGCTAGCATTTAGGCAAATTTCTGAGGATGAAACAGAGAACTCGAATGTGCTTGAGCTACCTAATTCTGAGCTAGAAACTGAAGAATCTGGAAACAATGTGGCAGCGGTTGAACTGTCGAGTTCAGTACTGGAAGATTCTGGAATGCCAGTACTGGAAGCACAAACAATTGAAGATATTGAGCTAGCATTTAGGCAAATTTCTGAGAATGAAACAGAGACAGAGAACTCGAATGTGCTTGAGCTGCCTAATGCTGAGCTAGTAACTGAAGAATCTGGAAACAATGCAGCAGCGGTTGAAGTGTTAAGTTCAGCTCTGGAAGATTCTGGAATGCCAGTGCTCGAAGCAGAAACAGTTGAAGATATCGACACAGTATTTAGACGAATATCTGAGAAAGAAATAGAAAAATCAAATGTTCTTGAGCAACCTAATGCTGAGCTAGCAACTGACATATCTGGGAATTCTGACAATGCAGCAGTGCTCAAAGTGTCAAGTGTGACACGCGCAATGCAATTACCAATTCTTGAAACAAGACCAACTGAATATTTTGATTTGGATCATGAAAATCTTTCAGAGAGTGATGGTGATGAGCATAAGGAGAAATCCAGAGACATAGGAGCTTCTTCAGATTCACAAAACGTCGAGACAGACTTGGCTTCGAAACAAGTCTTGGAAGGAAATCTGGAGAAACCCCTGAAATCCACTTCTGAAGGTGAGTTAGCAGAAGTTAAGCCAAGTGGAGCAGGCTCATCCAATGATATGGAATCAAGTGTTAGAGGATCTGATGTATCTTGAATTTGGAGAAGGTGAAACTGGAAAAGGAGATCATGAAGTTGTAGTAAAAGAAGCAAAGGCATTAACAGCTGAAAACCCAGATCATGTTGTTGATATGCCTACTACAGCTGATGTTAAAAGCAAGAAAGACAAACCCCAAAAGGCAGGCTCATCAAGTTCAAGCTCAAGTTCTGATTCAAGTTCAAGCGACTCTGAAAGAGAATGAAGATGATCGAAAGAATTGGTGGAAGAAGGTAGGGGAACCTTTTGGATTTTGTTTTTGGATCTATCGTGTCAATGAAATTGATCACGAGTAGTTCAAGTTGGTTTACTTTGTGTTTATTGTTTTAGTAGTTTGGCTTATGCATGGTTTTGAGTGCCTAGTGAAAATGATGGACTCCTTCAAGAATGAGTTTTGGTTTGATTTCTTGAAGCATTCTTTTCTTTTTTGAATCTTTTCAGCAGTTTTGGAGATTGGTGGGAGAAAAGGTTTTGTTAACTTGTATATGGATTCCGTAATGAAACAGTTTCTGTTTGTATGTTTTGGTGAAAGTAATGGCAAGATTCATTTCTTTTCTTTGTTGCTTCGTTTTGCTGTTTTCCTCGCTTTAGTTCTTTTAAGATAGATGTTTGGTGAAGCTTATAAGTTGGTCAAACTGGCTTATAAGCACATTTTAGCTTGTCTACGCGTATGGTAAATATCCAAAGTGCTTATAAGTTATAACCCAAGTGCTTATATGCTAAAATCAGCCATAAGTCACAAGTTGGTCACCCCCAACTTATGGCTTTTCAGTTTATAAGCACTTTTAATTTGACCAAGGGTTTTACTAATTTATCCTTAATAATATTTTTAATTCACAAAATACTTTTCCCTAAATAAATTTTTTAACTTTATTTTCATTCCATATTCGTTGTTCATCCTTTTCTTTACCAAGAAATTTTTTAATTTATAATCTTTTATAAATTTTTTAAGGATATTTTAATCATTTTAACAAAAGAACAACTTATTAGCACTTTTCTACCAAACACATCAACTAATTATTATTATTATTATTATTATTATTATTATTATTATTATTATTATTATCATCATCAGTTTCAGCACGTCTATTCAAACACTTAAATGTTTATTTAAAAAATTAATTTTAGCAGAGATGCTTTTCAACACTAAGCTTATCAGCTATTTACAATCAGCTAATCCAAACGAGCTCTAAGCCTTCTTGTTTAAAATATACAGGATAGGATCAAATGGAACAATAGCAGAGATTTCGATTGATGGATTTGCAAATTGAATATATTGAAGGATTAAGGTTAGAACTTGTTGGAGCCCCCAAGCCCAGCTCAAGTGGCAAATGGTGGAAGCTTGGTATTTAAGTGGAGAAAGGTAGAGGGACGGGCCCATTATCCACCAAGTTTCAAAGGCTGCGGTTGGTCCAAAGGATCGGCCCCAGATGAATTTCTCGGTCATAAAAAAAAGGTTAGAACTTGTTGGATTCAGCATTTCATAGTCTAGCTTCAAATAATAAAAAGATAAAACTGTAGCACTCCACTAAGTTCAAACCGTTATCTCTCTTCTTTTCAAATGCTAAAGCCTTTCCCTGAGTTTTTTTATCTCTTACTTCTATATTAAACACGTATATCGAATCTGAATACGATGGACTAAACATCCGACAAAAAAATAACGCACTAAATCTTGTGATCATTTAATCTTTGTATATAACCTTTATACAATGATCCATGCATGACTTCGGAAACCAAACAACTCCCAGAAGTGTATAGTAAGGAAAAGATCTTTCTAAACCCACTGAACATTGAAATATAAAATACATTAGCACTTGGTAGCAGTATATTGACCGTTTTACACACATTCATTAACTTACTAATATCCTACATACATCATATCTTTCCTTACAATTACAACTTGGACACATAGTAAGTACAATCATAACCAACATTCAGGGAAGGGATTTATGTGAACTTCCACAAAAAGCGGCTGTTCTTCTCAGCCTATTCATCAACTTTCCTAAGAGCAATTGGTGTCATAGCTAGCGAGTCCCAACAACTCCGGACCTTCAAGTCGAGGATTGTGCTCAAAGCTGCAAATTAGGAGTTCAGGAAACTCATTAGAGACAATCAACTAGTAAACTATCTTATAGAGGAAGCAGTAGGAGATGACCCCTAAATTAAGACATCAAGAAGAATAACATGGTATAAAACTATAACGCAAAAGCTACATGGGTAAGGCCCCAAATACAACACATGGGTACAACCAGTAAACAAGTAGTCTCTTTTACTAAATTGGAAGGACAATTGCTTTCTGAAAAGATTATTCCGTCTGCAGCATTATATTGTTATACCATGACAAGACTTTATTGGTCAAACGACAGCTAACAACATGCCTAGGGTTCAGACTCAGTGTCCTAGGTTTCAGATACAGATAACCGTAATTCATTTTGCATTTAATCTGCAAGCATCTACTAAGTAAGAGCTCTCAGTCCACCAAAAACAGTTCATATGTAAAGGACTGGTAGCTACAATTAGGGCGATACTCCAATAAGCAATATTCTATTAGTCAATGAGCAGACAGTGTTCCATATCATTTACGCTGGCTTTTGGAACTGTAGATTGCAAAATGCTGCAATTTTTTATTCAAAAAGAAATGTTGAAAGGATTTGGAATTCTAATTTCTATAGCTCGGTACTGCTTATTAATAAGATTACCTATAAAAAAAATTCTAATTTCTATAGTTCACAAGGTCAACGAAAAATTATTATGCTGTTAATTGCATTTTCTGGATATAGGTTTAGGAGATTATGTGATAAGTGGACAAGTTCTTTGGGCATCGCAAAAGTTGTCCGTAACTCACACAAGAAGATCTCAAACCTAACATCCTTAGAAACTGCATGAAAATAGTGCATGGCCATAGTGAAAAACGCAATTACTCAAAATTTGTTGTAGTGAATGGAAATCCATCAAATCTTGCAGAATTGTAACAGAACAAGGCAACAAAATCCAGTTTTATGCATCCAAAAGGACAATACAGTAGTCCTTACATTTCAAACTTTAAAATTCTGAATCATGTAAATATTAGTGAGAACATTCATAATTCAACTAGGCCTTGAATCAGTGGTTTACAGAGAAAATCAGACAATTAAAGAACTAACGGAATAAACAAAAAGCAAAAAAGAACCATGAAGCACCTCAATTGGTTTGAGCTGCAGTCTAATATGCATGTCTAAAAAACAAAATAGAAGTACAATTGGGCTTGAAGGAAATGGAGTCATAGGTATCTTTGTGTATAACTTGAATTGATGCCAACCTTAATGCTAATTGAAACAATTGGAACTCCTTTGGTTAATATATCATACTCTTCAATTTTTTTGATAAGTAATGATGATTAATTACTTATGTATGCCAGCAAAGAGCTATGGCATTACATCCTATAATTAGGTGTTATTTTAAGGCCTTTCGAGAAATCAATGAACTGTTCTACGATAGAAGGTCGCATATCCAAATCCTTCCCAAAGTAAGTTTTCTTATTTGACAAAAAGAATAGATCTGAAGTTATTCTTTCCAAAGTCATTCACCTAATGCTTCAATAAGTCCCTAACCTGAAGCCCAAATTCAACTTAAGATGAAGAGAAATCAAGAAAATAGTCTTTTCGAAAGGTATACTTGATGGCATAAAGTATACAGAGACATGATTACTATTTGCACCATATTTGTTCCTACAGTTCAGTATTGTAACAATACTCGTAGAATATACAAAGAAATCTTACTTGTTCAGTGGAATATGCTCAAATGGACCAGAAGTAGGAATTGTTCCACACAAATTGTTATTTGAGACATCCCTGGAAGAAGAAGTGCAAATAGTTTAAAAACAATTTCGAATAAGAATAACGATAATAACACAAGCAAAGAAGTATGCACTTACACAACTTTCAGGCTAGAAACACTAGAAAGTTCTCTTGGGATTGGTCCAGTTAGCTGGTTATCATTCAGACGCCTGATAAGTTAGATAAGAAACTTTTCAGTCAACAGAAAAGGATTGTCCAACAACAGATTCAGTACAAGCATAAGTGCTTGGTTATATGCAACAAGGGGATAGGGGAGCTTTCACTCAAGACTTTACAAACTCATTTAAGGTCAAACTGAAACTGAATATTGGTCATAAAAGAAAACGGAACTCTGCGAGTAGCCCAAGTAA